GCAGACTAGCTGACAAAACAACGACTGTAGGACCATGGACCCTGTTCGACTCAACCTTATCGTGTGCAACCATTTCCGTATTTTTCGGAAGCCAGCACAGCAATGATCGATAGCGCTTCTCTTACCGCACCCGCTCTGCAATAACACGCGAAGGTGCTCTGAGAGCAAGTAGTATGGTAGGGGCGCGAAGGGGTTAACGGGCACCCAAGTAGCCGTTACTCTTATTGACTCTGCCCGCCGTTCTACCCAGTCATAGTAGCAGAGACACACCGAAGAACGTAAGCAGGGACATTTTTGTTAATAAGAAAAAAGCGGGATCAACTGTGGTGACCATCGACCACAGCCCCGCTGCCCAGTAATCTTCTCCGATCATGCCCTCTGCTCGTTCAAATGCGCTCGCTATAGGGTTTTATCGATAGAAACATTCAAGCGGGCTGCGCGGTGATGCGTCGACAGTTTTTTCTCGCCTAAGGCTTGCTTTCCCCACCCCCCCCCCCATCCCTGCTTGAGCTCGACTACCCGAATTCGCCTTCGAGTGCTGCATCATCAGACAGTGTTGCACGGTTTTCCGTTTAGAACAAAAATCCTTTGAATCACTTTCAAGGAAAGCGAAGACACACCCACAAAATACGTACAGGAGTACGCAATACTGACGACCATGATAACTGCAATGATCAAGAATGTGTTCCGTACAGTGAAGTAAGAACGATAAAGAGTTGGGACTGCGGTAGCAATAAATCGATTAATTGAAATAAATAGAATAGCATGATAGCTTAAGGTTTGGAAGAGGAGAGCCAGTTGTCCAAGTACGTTGCCCACTTCGTCCGTTCTATTTGACAAAGTGCTGCTAAAAAAGTGATATCACATATCAGTTACTGTAATAATGACACTACTCCTAGGTAAATTGAAGGTAGAACCCCGACTGCAGCCCGTAGATAGGTAGGGATCGAAACACGAATGTAAAGGAATAAAAAAATAAGATGAGCGCATAAAAGAGAAATAGATGGAGGTACGACGGGAGAGTACATAAATGATCGGGAACTCAAAATCCCACAGCGGTGATAAAACGAAATTCCAAAGATGGAGAACCACCACGAGCTTGGAGTGCACCTATCGCGGTAGAGCCTTGGCGTTTTCAGACTTAACAATGACGGCTGTCGACGCGCTGTAACGTGCTGAAACGCGCTACCGTCGCCATAGCTCTCCAAGACTAAAGATGCGAACGTAGCCGCAGACGGAAATCGATCGCCGCTCCATGGCTCCATGGCATTTCCATGGCCCACATCCTGTTATCGCAAAAGCCGGCCGCTTTCGCGATAACAGGATATGGGCCATGGAAAAGTAGCGTGTGCGTTGCCCGAACACGCGGTCTGATATCGATTGGCACTCGCCGCTAGGGATTTGGGAGAGTACAGAAGAAAGGGGAGTATCAGGTTGGGTAAAGGCAGCACTTCGTCCTGATATTCTGCACTCTCTCGACATGTAAGAGGCCGCCGCCGATCGTTCCGGTCTGCGGCTGCGTATGCGTCTACAGGGTTGAATTGCTGTTGCAAGTGTGGCGCGTCAGCGCGTATAACAGCGTGTCGACGCACTACAATGGCATCGCGAAGTCTGAACGCTGCCTTATCGAGTACATTTGAGCGTGAAATCGGTATAGCTTCTGTGGTTGTGATCGACGCTACATTATGCAGAGGGAGGCTTCTATGCTGATTGCTCGCGGACACTGTTTTCAACGTAACTGGAGAAACATTTCAAAAGTGCTGATATAAGGGTACTTACTACATCATAACTGGCGCCACCCAAAATAAGAAGATCGCCATTATGCAAGCGTTTGCTGCACAATGAAAAGCAGTCAAAATTCCAAACGAGTTTCGAAAAATCCTTAAACGCATCACTAGCACGGCCGACATGCAGTTCGTTATCAAACCAATGACGCCTATCTGAAACAACAGATAAAATTTGATTGTTTTTCGTAAATAGAAGACCTAAATATCAATTAATGGGTCAATAATCGGGCACGCACTATCATCGTGAATGCGGCCAGTACCATGTTTCTGGCTGCCTGATCCTCTTTGCGGATATCCATTTTCGTTGTCCAAGAGCAGTTATCTAAATTATCACAAAAGTGACATTGAAATGCTATATTACGACTACAGTGTGCTTTGCTTATTGACGAACAAGTAAAGGAACATTCAGTTGTTACAAACTTACAGCCCCACTGCCACCCTCTTTCTCTTCCTGGTGAACGTGGTACTCTTCTACAGCTGCAGATCTTCCCACCACGTTTATAAAAGGGATCAAGTAAGCGTACAATGCATCTTTGAAGGTAGAGCACTGGATTAGAAATAGCGGATAAGAGAGGGGCAGGAATGGGAATGCAAGTATTCTGGGAACCCAAGAGTGAATTAGGAAAGCATAAAAAAACTGTTACAAATGTTTCATATATGATTCCCTTCAGAGCGAGTTGATACGACATGACAGCGAAGAGATCGAAAGAGAGCACCAGCTGTGGTCGATATGGTGGTCGCAATCGATCCCATCAGATTTCTTATTCACAACAATGCCTCTGTCTACGTTCTTTGGCGGGCTTTCTTATAGCCAGGCAGAGGAGTGTCAGTAGGTAATACCTAAGTGTCATTCTTCCAACATCAATAGTCGCATTACTTTTTTGCAATTGCACAATGCCTGAACAGGATCCTGATTATATTCATAAGATATTCCGTGCTGCATATTCACACGTTTCGGCGTTTGAAGAGCTAACA